TGACTACCTTGGGGAATTTCACAAATAATTATTTCCTGGTGCTCTGTTTTATGAAATATTAGGATTTTCATCAAAATACATAAAGACAACAATAATATGTTTTGAGAGCCAAGGAGTTCAAATTCTCACTTGACTATGGCTCTTAACCAGTCAGTCTGTTTAATGGAAGTCACCAGGGGTATCTCACAGTATGGTCCATATAATCAAGATGGAGCCATAACAATGTGATCAAAGGTCTGTGATCCACCTAAACGTAATTTGGAACTCATTATTGTGGACATCGAGACATGGTGACTCAGTGGCTAAGACGCTGAACTTGTCAATCAGAAAGGTCGGCAGTTCAGCAGTTCGAATCCCTAGTGCCGCGTAATGGAGTGAGCGCCCGTTATTTGTCTCAGCTTCTGCCAACTTAGCAGTTTGAAAGAATATAAAAAATGCAAGTAGAAAAATAGGGACCACCTTTGGTGGGAAGGAAACAGTGTTCCATGCACCTTTGACGTTTAGTCATGCCTGCCACATGTCCGTAGAGATGTCTTCGGACAGTGCTGGTTCTTTGGCTTTGAAACGAGGATGAGTCAGGAACAACTAGTACATATGTGTGAGTGGAACCTTTACCTTATCTTATTGTGGACATCATGTTGTCTTTTTTGGACCCATGCCCTGCAGATATCCTTGCAATTCCACAATCAGTTTCCCTCTCATTGTTTTCCTTGTTGCCAGGGTGAAGACCCCGATAATTAACATGCTTCCCCATGTTTTCTAGTCAACTTGGTCATGCTTTCCTCTAAATATAATGATTAAGAAACGAAATAACAGAAGAAGACCCAGATTATGGTAAGGAAAAGTGAGCAAAGATACAAGAAGTAATGCAGAAAAATCTAATATTTATTATTTGGTAACTAAAGCAGAAATCTAGATTTCCTAGTTCAAAATAAGGCCTTCCAAGATATTTACGAGATATTCTGGAACAATGAAGACAATTTTCCAAATTTAGAATTCTCAGACTGACTGATATATTCTGTCATGCATCATTGCAAGATTCATGGAAGGTTCTCTTCTCATCTTTTATACATCAATGTAAACTTTCTGTAAGTTGGAGGATTTTATTTAGAAACTGTTCTGACCCCCCCTCCCTACGGTGAGTCACGCCGGCACAAGGTTACTGTTAGCCACGCTTTATTTACAGTAATTACTCACAGACAAGACTTGGCAGCAACCCAGACTCCCACAGATAAGAGATACACACAAGAGCTTCTCCAGCTTAGTAAAACGGCTGTGTCCAGCAAAAGGTCTCCTCCAAAAGTCTCTTCTTATATANAAAAAAACAAGATTTCTTCCAACAACCGGTTCTCTGAACTGCTTAGAAAGTTAACAACCGGTTCTCCCGAATAGGTGCGAACTGGCTGAATCCCATTACTGCTTCCTATACATATTTATGTAGATTCCAAGGGCTCACAAAGCAACAGAACGTAGGAATGGTCATGGGATGTGAGTCAGGGAAAGAAGTCAATGGAGATTCTCAGTCATCCAAGCCATGATTGACCCAAAGGTGCTTTTTCAAAAGGCAACTGAATTTTTCTTTATGTTTTTCCTTGAAAATGTTTTCCACCTGACCCAAGAAGATTTTTCAGCTCTGATGGGAGACAAAACCTCTTCAGGGGGGGGGGGGGCAAAGAAAACTCCAGTTGCTTTTTGAAAAAGCACCTTTGGGTTAGGAGAAGGAGGCAAAGTGAGCAGTAAAATAAATTCTTCCTTGAATCAAACTTGATTCCTGTTGATCATTCAGAACACTTTTGTTTTCTTGGCAATGGTACCGTAGCGCTTTGCTAATGCCAAAGCTGATTTCCAACTCAAGGTTTCCCCTGTTTTATTCTTTAGATTTATACCCCACTATAATCTTTACTCTTCCCACGGCATCTCCTTCCTCATTACTCTATTATTTTCAATTTGCAAATGTCTTTTCAAAAGCTTTCCAAGTAGCAAACAGATCAAACCATACACATAAAAACTACACTCACACAGAGCTATTAAACAGTCAGACTCTAGTTCAAAACAATAAACAGCACTTAAATAATCATCATTACTTCAATTCAAAAGGTCTGGCGGAGGGGAAAAGTAACAAAGAGAAGACACAACCCAAATCTGAAGTATCATTAAGAGGGGCCACTTTATTAATCTGAGTTTATCAAAACAGCTAGCCAATTCTCTAAATCCTTATTGTTATTATTACCATCATCATTATCTTCGTCTTTATATTTCTTTCTTAACGTTTCTTAACATGAAGATGGAAAGACATTCATTCCCACCATGGAAGAATGGATGACAAAGGTGATGGAGAGATGGTGAAATTGAGTACTTTAATTAAAGAAAGGAATTTAGCTGGCTTTGGTTCTACTAGGAATCTGCTTCTGGATTTTTCTCAGAACTGAAAAAAATGAAACCTTGATTTAGGTTTTGGTGATTAGAACGATTTTACCATTACAGAAATGGCTTTGAAATGTTGTGAAATGTAACTAAATTTTGAGTCTGTGTTATTTTTGAAATAGCAATAGCAATAGCAGTTAGACTTATATACCGCTTCATAGGGCTTTCAGCCCTCTCTAAGCGGTTTACAGAGTCAGCATATTGCCCCNGGCTGAAAGCCCTATGAAGGGGTATATAAGTCTAACTGCTATTGCTATTGCTATTTTGAAAGTAGGATTATTTCAGATCTCAAGTAAGTGGCCTAGCTTGGATACCACCGCAGTACCAGAGCCAGCACAGTTTCACTAAGGTTACAATAAAGCAAAAATTGAACCATCTGCTATTAGAAGATGGCTTGCCTTAAAATGTGTTTCATTTCATTGGGGAGGGGGGACTGAGGACATTGGTAATTGTAGATAATGAGCAGGTCTATATTTCCCAATAGGGACATTATTTTTAAGTTATAGATAATATGCATTCAGGTTCATACTTCTTGGATGGTTTCCAGCAGGCACAGACAGTCACTAAGGTACCCAGAAGGAAAATTCCCCCAGTGGACAGGATTATATAGAGGGAGCTTCTTCCTGAAAAAAAGACAAAAGTTGAATTAGAGATGTGATTCATTAAATGAAAAGAGTAACACTTGAGATTCGCCTAAACCTCAAGGATTAAACTAAAAGGTTGTGGCTTTATGCTGAATTTCTGAACTCTGAGGGGAAAGGTAAAATTATCAGAAGATATTTGATGAAAGCTTCTACTTTTATACTTGTACACATATTGTACATGCACTTCTATAACTGCAGGCTGGAATCTCTGAGAACTAAAATCCCTTCCTTCCTTCCTTCCTTCCTTCCTTCCTTCCTTCCTTCCTTCCTTCCTTCCTTCCTATGACTATTATAAGCTGTTTTTCTTTCCAAGCAGTGCCTTAGGAAGGAGTAGCCAAAAATAATGTGTTTCCTTGAAGAACTGGAAGTTCACAACATGCAGGAATCCAGGGCCATCTGGCTACAGTCTGTACAACTGTGGCCTTACCCTTGATTTATAACTACGGTACCTCCTGAGTTTTATTTAGAGGCAATATTTCACGCTCTTGTTTTAGAGAATCCATGGAGACCTGGCTGCCTTCTTTGGCATTACCTGCCAATTCCAGCTTACTAGCCAGCAAAGCATCGCCATTCTTCTGCGCTCCCTTTTATTTTGTAGGCTACTGTCAAGAAAGGGGGGTGGGGAGGGTCAGGCCTTGGTCAGGTCAAGTTTGTGAACCAAAATAATGTTTTATTTTAAAGATATTACTCTCCATATTCTTGTAGGGGGAATAGTAGGTACCTAAGTCTGGAGAAAGAATAAGAACAGAAAGTTGTGGAGAGCTGAGTGGGCTACTTGTCCATGGAAGTTGCAAATCAGGTTGATGCCAATATGATGGTATCAGTGCAGTGATGCTGTAATGCAAATGCAACCATCAAATGCTTGTATCAACACTTTGAGATAGTCAGGAAAGAGACTCTGCATGAAGTACTGGAATTCCAAGGGGCCGAGGTGGCGCAGTGGTTAGGGTGCAGCACTGCAGGCCACTTCAGCTGACTGTTATCTGCAGTTCAGCGGTTCTAATCTCACCGGCTCAAGGNTACCTCTATTTCCACGAAAGTAAAAGCCTATTTAAACTGCAGTATCTCGGTATGCTGGTCTGTGTGTTCTCTAACACAACTCTAGCAACGCTTCTCTGAATGTACTCGCTCTCCCAACGGGGAGCTTACTTAACAAGTCTCATGAAGAAGGACTCCTTAAGCTAAAATTGTACCATAGCAATTTGAGGTATATACAAACTATGGATTCTTTTTAAGGACACCTCAAGCACTATTGAGCCAGGAATTGTGGTATGCAGAGATTAACCGTCTATCCTGGATCAATCCAGAGTGGGTCTGGTCTACCACGCTTTGCCATTCTACAGAGTTCTGAAGAAATAAACTGGATCTGGAGTTTATAACAAAATCCCTATGCCTATTTGATTCTGGAGAGACAAAGACAGTTCAGCATGTGGCCCTTGGTTGTGATCATTACAGAGACTCTCCAGAACTTAGCACCTCCACCCATCCTACAAAACCAAATTAATTTTACACTAAACTGCTGCTGTCAGATACCAATCAAGATTTAGCAAGGAGTGTTGCCATCTATCATCCATTTATAATGAAGAGGTGAGAACTGCTGATTTCTTCCGCTAACTTTAATTTCATTTTACAATTCCTATTTTTGAAACGTTAGGCTACCTCTCATTAACTGAAATATTATTATATAGAGCTCTGATCTGTAATCACCGTAAAGGAATTTATTTCATCCAGAATTTCACTAACATGCATTATCAGGAAGCAGTTTCACATCCATCTACTCTAATCCAAGGAAAAGGAAGACCTGGGCTAAATTATTTCTTTCCACTTCAAGATGTGAGGTTTGCTCCAGTTACATGTACAACAACTTTATAAAGCACCCAGCTGTACATATTTGAAGCTGCTGAAGAGATATAAGTGATGAAAAGTAACAAAGAGAGCAAGCAATGGTGAAAATGACTGTCATTTGGAAAAAAAAACAGTTTTGCAGAATGGATCTCTGAACCCTCGTTTTGTTTCCCTTGTTTGGCTGATTAATAGGATTGATTTATTAAATGTACCTTGGGCTGCACTGCTAAATGCCTTCTAAAAGCATGGATTGGTTTTCTTAATAAAGTGTTGTTCCAAGGCAAATCCATAATTTCCCTTCACAATTTTGCTGGGGGAAGTGGAGAAATGGGTGCGTTTCAACATGATATACATCATGAGAGCCGAGGTGGCGCAGTGGTTAGGATGCAGTACTGCAGGCCACTTCAGCTGACTGTTATCTGCAGTTCGGCGGTTCTAATCTCACCGGCTCAAGGTTGACTCAGCCTTCCATCCTTCCGAGGTGGGTGAAATGAGGACCCAGACTGTGGGGGGCGATATGCTGACTCTGTAAACCGCTTAGAGAGGGCTGAAAGCCCTATGAAGTGGTATATAAGTCTAACTGCTATTGCTATTGCTATTGCTATTGCTAATTTTATTTGTATAACAAGAGTTATGAAAGTCGAACAGAAATTCTCTTCCTATCAGTGGTGGGATTCAAATAATTTAACAACTGATTCCCTGCCCTAATGACCAGCTGGGTAGGCGTGGCTCGGTGGTCATGTGACTGGGTGGGCATGGCCAGCTCAACATCATTCATGTTGATGGGCACTTCGCCTTAGCTGTTACAATGTCATAAGGGTTAATCGGAGAGGCAGTTTCTGTAAGCAGGGCAATAAAGATTAGGCTAGAAACAACACCAGAATGTTTCCTTCCTGTCTTCCTTACAGGATTAGCCCTGTAAAGTGGGAAAAAAACAAGATTTCTTCCAACAACCGGTTCTCTGAACTGCTTAGAAAGTTAACAACCGGTTCTCCCGAATAGGTGCGAACTGGTAGGAACCCACCTCTGGGGCATAACCAAGCCAGAAGTAAGATCAAGTACTCTCAAACTGTTTTAACTTCAGATAGTAGTTGATCCTGTCTCTTGTGTAGCACCACCAGTTGTCTTTCTACTCTTGCTAGGAAGTGTTAAATGACACACCAGCCAGAGCTCTGCTATCTGTCTGGTAACACCTGCTTTCTCTAATTTGAATCCTATTGAATTATTTATTAATATATTTGTTTTCCTGCTATTCGGCTAAAAATCAGGTGGCATATATTCAATCAGGGAAAAAATGGGGCTGTATTTATAAGCTTGATGTATAAGATTTTAATCACAAGAAGGAAAGGAATAGTGAGTGCATGGGGGGGATGGGCCAATTTTAAAGCATTTATTAAATTGTACTCCACGACTGGATGATGGCCATGTTCTCTCTGTTCTTTGCCTTACCATCTTCAGTTCTATCCTTCAGCCTGTGATAAAGTATCTTGTACATAGGTCCCTAATAAGTTGCATGCTTTTTTAAGTAACTTCCCCAATCTAAATTTATTTCAACACATCTCTTACTATATATTCTTTAAAGAAGGCAATCATTTCTCATACATGTTCAAAAACATTGAGTATTCTAAGACATGCTTTCATTCAAGTTTCATCTTTCCAGAAAATGCTATTTTCTAAAGGTGTTTAGAATGAGAAGAAGTGAACTCCTGTGGAATTGATGTGTGGCTTTTATCTGGGGCATGGCCAATCTCAGTCTCCAAGATCTTGGTGACAGATTTCTTCTCCATCCCTATAGGAAAGACCTCAAAGCAGATCTTCCCGAGAGCAAAAGGCTCCTGTGAGAAGGACGAATGGCATTCAAGGGCCTCAGCTGGGAGAGGATCTCTCTCTGTCTTGTCTTGTCTTGTCTTGTCTGTCTGTCTGTCTGTCTATCTATCTATCTATCATCTACTCTATCTATCTATCTATCTATCTATCTATCTATCTATCTATCTATCTATCTATCTATCTATCTATCTATCTATCTACCCTATCTTATCTTATCTATCTATCTGTCTATCGTCATTATCTATCATCTGTCATTAAGCTACTTAGCTACTGTATATTGCTAGATAGCTATCTACCTAGCTAGCTATTGTATTTAGCTATTTAACTAGCTAGCTAGCTAGCAATAGNAACCTTGAGCCGGTGAGATTTGAACCGCCGAACTGCAGATAGCAGTCAGCTGAAGTGGCTGCAGTACAGCACTCTAACCACTGCGCCACCTTGGCTCTCAGACAAATGTCTATCCAACATCTTCTTAAAGACTTCCAGTGTTGGGGCATTCACAACTTCTGGAGGCAAGTTTGATTTTTATCCACTGATTAATTGTTCTAGTTGTCAGGAAGTTTCTCCTCAGTTCTAAGTTGCTTCTCTCCTTGATTAGTTTCCACCCATTTATTCCACCCAGTTGTTAAGTGAATCACTGCATTTATTAAGTTGGTTAAGTGAATCTGGCTTCCCCCTTGACTTTGTTTGTCAGAAGGTCACAAAAGGGGATCGCACGGCCCCGGGACACTGCGACAGTCATAAATATGAAGCAGTTGTCAAACATCTGAATGTTAACCCATGGGGATGCTGCAACGGTCATAAGTGTGGAAACTGGTCATAAGTCACTTTTTTCAGTGCCGTTGTAACTTCGAACTGTTGTGAGTCGAGGACTACCTGTATGTAACAGGTAGAAAGGTGGATCGTGAGGGGGAACCATGGAAACTAGGAACTATGTACGCAGCATGGAAGGACTAAATGAAGCCCAAGATCATGAGATTTGTCGATACCCAAACTTCTATTGTTTTATCTCACACTGTCAGTTCAGGGCAAACAGAAGGCAACCCTATGCTCAAGAACGACATGGTTAAAAAAAGAACGAGCATTTCTGATTTAAATCGACTTCCTTGTTGCATGATGGGAGGTTTCTGAGGAGATCTCCTTTTCCCTTTCTGTGAAAGCACCCATGTGGAAGGGCACAGATGAGGGAGAAGCACAGGAACAAAAGCAATTGGGTTGAGAACAAATAATGTCAAACAGTGGAGGAAAAGCAAATCAAAGCAGTGTCCTCTCATTCATGCGGCTTTTCTTTTCTTCGGATCTATTTGGGTCTTTTCTTAGAAGAAGGGGGGAAAAACAATCTGGGATTCCCTCTAGAGGTAGGTCATTCAACAACTAGGCTTCACCCCGGATAACTTTTGAAGATCAGCTAAGGACAGGTAGGTGCCAGATTGGGAAGTTTAAAAATATACTAAGGCAATAATGGCAAGCCATTTCTGTTCACTCTCTCCCAAAAAATCCCACCCCTGAATGGATGAACTCACCAGAGTTCAGCTCAGCTCCAGGACATCTTTAGCTTTTAATTACTCACTGGTCTGTATATTTTTCCAGACACTTTCCCACATTCTCAACATTGGCTTTTTAAGGTTTATTTTCTTAGATCTATATGGTCTCTATATATCTTGCCATATTAGGGATAAGGTTAGGGTTATATAACTAATATATGTAAGGATGAGATGGGCACTTTTAAGGAGTAATAATGCACCTGTTCCTTGATAGCCAATAGCAGCTTTGGAATTCTACAAATTACCCAAATATTTTAATTTTTCTAATAAGCTGTAGGATAACTTATCACCAGGAATAAGAAGAGATCTACATCAGTGTATATCCTTGATATTTCTGCTTGTGTGGCTTGAATGTTATAGTCACCGCAGACACAGAATTAGGTTTCTTTTATAAAAGCCCTCAGTTATATGTTTGTAGGACTCACAGAAATGTACAGTACAGAAAATATCTACTATTGCATTGAAGAGGCAAAGTGTGTGACTTTGTTATTGGGGTATGTAATTTTATTCCAAGTCTCCTTACAATTCAGACCATCCAAAGACCGAATCAATTACTGTGTAGTTGTCCACGGGGCATGGTAAAAGAGTAAATAAAGATGTAATTGTGTAATTGAAGCCTTACCTGGTTTTATAGGCATCATGGCTGCCGTTTTGCTTTTTATTATTATTCCACGTGGAGACCCCTGATCAGTTAGCTATGATGCTTCTTATCAGCTGCATTAAAACAGATTTTCAGGCTATATCATGAGTTCCATACATCTGAGAGGAAAAAGCACTTAACTATACAGCTCCTTCTACCTTTAGAATTTTTTTTACTAACTGGTGAAGGCATAATAGTGGTGGGTTTCAAAAAATTTTGGAACCTACTCTGTGGGTGTGGCCTCCTTTGTGGGAGTGGCTTGCCGGCCATGTGACCTGGTGGGAGTGGCTNTGTTCCAGCATACCTTTGCATGCCTACACTTATGTTACAACAGAGGTGAAAAGAAGGAAGCATTTAATTGAAAGGGCAAGAAGCCATGACAAGCGTCAATTCTGATTTGCCTGAGTACTGCAGGGCTGGAAAGGCTGTCCTAAAATTTTTGATAGGAGGCAAAACTTGTCCAGTTTCTCAAGTTTTAATGTTAAAGGGAGATGAATGGGAGAAGAGAGATTCTTTTGTTTTAAGTCAGCTTTTCAGTCCAACATTGTTTGGGATGGGTATCTTGAGATTTCAGAAGAGTTGATTCCTATGACTCTATTTCTGTAGATGGAACCAGGAATGCAGGACCCAGGTAGTCCTTGACTTACAACAGTATGTTTAGTGACCAAAGTTACAATGGCACTGAAAAAAGTGACTTATGACTGTTTTCCACACTTACAACCATTGCAGTGTCCTCGTGGCCATGTGATCAAAATGCAGGTGCTTGGCAACTGACCCATATTTATGTCCCAAGATCATATGATCCCCTTTTGTGATCTTCTGACATGCAAAGTCAATGGGGAAGCCAGAATCACTTAACGACCAGGTTACTAATTTAACAACGGCAGTGATTCATGTAACAACTGTGGTAAAATGGGTCAAAATTCACTTAACAAATGTTTCATTTAACAACAGAAATTTGTTAAATTTCTATTAAATAACAGACTACCTGTATATCCCTACAATGGAGGGAGAATCAAGAAACCAGGATACATCAGACCAGACGGTTGAGACACAAAACACACTTAGTGTCATAGGTAACATTTTTGGAAAGTTTCAGCAGTCCAAGGAGCAGCGCAGGTAGTCCTCGAGATACAACCACAATTTCTGTCCAAAATTACTGTTGCTAAGTGAAAAAAATTGCTAAGTGAGTTTGGCCCATTTTATGACTTTTCTTGCCATAGTTACAATACAATACAATAGCAGAGTTGGAAGGGACCTTGGAGGTCTTCTAGTCCAACCCCCTGCCTAGGTAGGAAACCTTATACCATTTAGCAATAGCAATAGCAGTTCGACTTATATACCGCTTCATAGGGCTTTCAGCCCTCTCTAAGCGGTTTACAGAGTCAGCATATCGCCCCC